CCCCCCACCCCGGGGGCTGGCCTAGCACTCCTGGATCTGCTGCCAATCAGCCAAGCCGGCAGCGACAGGCCTCTGGCCAGTCGTGACACTCGCCATCTATGCTCAAGGAAGGAAAATCCCAGTGCCTGAAAGCTGTGTGGAAGCACAGTTTCCTCTCCACAGTGACTGCCCAGGGACACCACGGGCTGCAGCACGCGTGCTCACAGCTGGTTGTAAGTGTGGCTGGTTCAAGTCCAGAGCCCCCTGGGCAGGCCAGACAAAGACCTGAGAGCCCCCCGCACCAGGTGGGGCCCCGGGCCAGCCCAGAACCACCTTGGTGCCTGCTTGCAGGAAGAGGAGAGGAGAGGTGGGCAGAAGGCAGTGGGAGCGCCTGAGCGTGGTGTCCACAGCTGCTACTGTCCCAACACAGCCCTCAGGAGCGCAGTCTCCCACCCGACGCAGACCCGGCCCAAGTCTGACACCACTGCCTGCTATGTCCGGGACGAGGGAGACACAAGCTGCCGCGCGCTCCAGTGAGGGGCCGGACACGCTCAGCTCGCAGACCAGGCCTCGCTCAGCACTGCCCGGCCTGGGCTTGCTTGCCGGCCTGTGAGCCCTGTGAGGGTGGAGCCCAAGTCCTCACCACCATGGTCTGCCAGCCCCAGGGAGCCCCCAGGGACACCAACGGCCTGTGCTTGCCCACCCCCACCCTCCCGCACAGCGTTTGAGTCACTCCGCTAGTCAGGTGCTAACACTGGCTCATGCTCCCCGTGCCTGCCGCCACCCACCTGCTCTTTGTACTGATCCGCATGTCGGCGCTCGTCTTCCACCTGCATGAAGATCTCCTTCAGCTTCTTCTCCGTACGGCGGACCAGTTTGTTGGCAGCTGCTCGCTCCCTGCGAAAACCATCAACATGGTGACTCTGCACTTGAGAGAACACACACACACACTCTCTCTCTCTCCCCTCATTCCTTGGAGGGTCACCCATGCCGGAGCACGTCACAGGCCCTTTGGGACAGAGGGCTCTGAGCACCACGGCTCCGTGCCTTTTTCTTTGGCGGCCTCTTCTGAACAATGAGTGTGTGTAAGTGAACAACACACTCTTTAGAAACCGAACTCTAGTTCTTTTCTCATCTTCGGACCAGAAATAAACAAGCCAGGTTTATTTTTAGTAACCTGCTACTACAGACCCCAGCGGCCAGCACGCAGCAATGTCCCCGGTCACTCTCACATCACCCTGTTCTGGTCCACTGTCCCTGGTGGAGAAGTTAGTAACTGGGTTGGGCAGACAAGAGCTCAGGGCTTTTAAACACACATACGCAGAAACGGGGAGCAGGTCATGCTGAGCACAACCTCAGAACCCCTGACTTTGACGCAGTGGGGTGGGAAGGACCGGCCTGCGGTGCTGGGTGCAGGCCTGTCCCTGCTGCCCCGTCTGCTGGAGCTCTTGTACAGCTCCGGCCGCTGACCGGGTGGGCTTCCCGCACTGCACGTCTCTCTGCCTGCCCACTCCGCACGCTCGCCTGGGCGAGGGACTGTGGGCAGAGCCGTGAGCTGTGGGGCCCTGGGTCAGCCCTTGCTGAGCCCTGAGGCCTGGCAGGTGGGCCCAGCCTCTGACCTCACCCCGATGTCCATGGCATGATCTCTCCTCTTTCCCATGCGATGGGGTGCTCCCCCATGGCAAAGGGCGGGTCTCCCCAGTCCCGGACCTCTCGCAGCCTGTCTGCCACAGTGGCCTCTCTTACTTGGCCTCCTGCTCCAGCTGCTCCTCCAGCTGCCCGAGCTTGGCCTCCAGGGCTGAGATGGTGGCCTTGAACTTGGACTTGACGGTGCCCTCCAGCTCCTGCAGCTTGGCCTTCAGCTCCTTGCTCTGCCGCTCCAGCTGCTGGCGCGCGCTGTCGCTCTTCTGGGCGGCGCTGCGCTCGGCCGCCAGCTCGGCATTCAGGGTGTCCACCTGGGAGGAGGCGGGGCTTAGCACGTGAGCACGCAGGGCAGGGCAGCCTCACCCACCGAGGGCCCCGCGCCCACCCCGCGGTCACCTGAAGGGTGGTTTTGCGGAAGCGGTCATTGAGCAGCTCCGTGTTGCTCTGCTCCTCCTCCAGCTCCTCCTCCAGCTGCGCGATCCGCGCCTCCAGCCGCCGCTTCTCATCCAGCAGCGCGGACCTGGCGGAGGAGGCAGCTCAACATCAGCGCCTCACCACGGGGCGCCTCCGTGCAGCACCCTCCTGGTCCCCTGTCCCCTGCCGCCCACCTGTCATGCATGCAACCTCCACACCCAGGCCCACGCCCCGGTCCAGCCCAGCATCTTTCGCCTGGAGGACCGCTGCTCTCCGCCTCCCCGACACAAGAGCCACCTCAGTGTTAGAAAAAGCCACGGTGGGATCCCCCGGTTTAGACTCCAGGACGGTGTGCCGAGGGTGGACTGCTGGGAAACATGCCCAGGCCTTTGGCTACTACAGTGTGACTCCTCAGCACAGCCACGGGTGGGGCACGGCGAGACCAGCTCCTAATGACGCACAAGGAGAGCAGGGCCGGGCCAATGCACGCGGGGTCACCCCCGCCATGTGGCCAGGCAGCACTGGAAGGCGCGGCCCGCTGCCCCCACGCTCAGGACCCTGAGCTAGTCTCTCTCCATCTTGTATGGAGTTATTGGCGCCCCCAGTGAGACGGGGGCCTTTGTGCCCGAGGGGAGAGGACCCAAACACGGGGCTGGTGGGCACCCCCAGTTCCTGGCCCAGCCCGAGACTCACTTGCCAGAAGCACTGTTGGCGATCTCGTCGGCCAGCTCGTCCCTCTCCTGCTCGGCGTGGCGGCGGGCCCGCTCCGACGAGGCAAGCTCCTGCGAGTGCAGACTGGTGTGAGCTCTGGCCTCCACGGGCCCCAAGCCCCAGCTTGTCAGCTCCCTAGAGACTAGCAGATGTGCTGGGGCGCACTCTGAAACGCTTGGTCTGGCCCTCATTCTGTCCAACCAGAGTGGCTAGATGCCTCCCTTCCCGGGGAGCTGGTGCGTCAAGCAGGAACGGAGCACACCTTGTACGCACTCTCGGGACGCTTCAGAAACGTGAGCTGGACCTCTCACGGTTCACTCACTGTAGTGGCTGCAGTGCATGAGCCCTGGTCTGGGGCAGGCGGGCCCCATGGCAGGCCAGGGCTCCCCCACAGGGGACACCTGCTGCTTCCACACACTTCCCTAGGAAGGGTGACCTGCCCAGTTCTCACCCAACAGGCTCAACTCGGGTCATGTCTTCAGGGATTGGGTGCATCATCGTCTCCCTAACTTTATGGAGGAGGGAACTGGGGCCCAAGTGAAGTCAACAAGCAATCTCCCGACACCAAGGTTGGGGTTAGGACCCCAATGTTTAGCAACGTCAAACGAACACCCCTTTCTCTCCTCACTCGCGGGGGCAAGGCTCGGAAAGTTACTGGTCTGTCCCTTTGTCTTGAGCCGGACAGAGTGTCTGTGAGCTGGGTCAAGTGGCGGCCACAAGTGCCAAGTGGAAGCCGGATCCATATTGAACACGGACATGGAAATAATACCGGCCACAAAGGCAGCCGGCCCGTGTCCTGGGCCTGGGAGAGCCGCCCCGATGGTGAGCACAAACCAGCGCACCTCCTGCAGCTGCAGTATTTCTGCCTCCAGACTCTTCAGCTTCTTCTCGCTCTCCTTGGACTGCGCAAAGATCTCGTCCCGGGAGGCCCGCGCCTCTTCCAGCTCCCGCTGGTAATCCTTCATCTGGGCCTGCGGGGCAACAGAGAGGATGGCTGAGCCCACCCCTCTGTTCTTAAACAGATGACCCCGCCCCGCCCATGAAAGCCACACAGATTCTCCTGAACAAATACAAAGCATATGGAAGGGATGAAGGTGATCAGGAGGCAAAGAAACACAGGCCAACATCTCTTACCTGTATATCCGTGTAAGCGTTCTCAGCAAACAACAAAACATCGGAGGCAAACTGGACGCAACACATACAAAGGATTTTCTACCAAGACCAAGTGAGCTCTATCTCAGGACTTCTGGTTGGTTGAACTTTAATGTTACGGACGGTTGTAGACGGGATTATGTCTCCCCACACTGTGTGCTATGAATCCTCCCCTCCGTGCCTGTGGGTCACCAGCCCGCTGGTTATGCTGTCTTTGTGCCAATCTCTCGTGAGATGTGAGCTTACACAGGCAGGGGGAGGAGGGCTAAGACGGACGGACGCCCAGGGACTAGAAGCTGAAGTGACAGAAACCGCCCCTCCCCACGAGTCGGCGGAACGAGAAAGGCCTTCCTTCCCCTGGAGCCGGTGCCCTCAATTCCGACTTCTTGTCTCCGCAGCGGTGGACGTGAACTTCTCTTCTGATATTTCTGTTGTAGCAGCACCCAAGTCACCAAGAACTCTGCCCTAAGACAGAGGTGCTGCTCGAACAGATACCCGGATGTGGACGCTGTTTTGGAATTGGGTTATGAGTAGTTTTACGGTGCCCAGAGCGCAGTGAGGAGGGACACAGGCAAAGTCTCTGTGGTGCCAGCAGCAGCGTGTGCGGCTGGCGGGGAGGCCTGCCATAGGCTGCCACCGGGGCTCTGAAAGGCGGCGATGGGCAGCGGCAAATCCCGTGCCGGGTCGTGTGCATGCGTGTGTGGTGGCAGGTAGAGCTTTAAGTGAACGGATCACTGAAGACAAATGGGTGCATATGCAAATGTGGCGAAGAAAGCTGATGGTGCCCGGCTATCAAAAAGTATAG